TTTGCTGCTTTTCTGGCTGGGTCCAGCCAATTTTGCCTTGCTATATGAAAGTGAAGTCAGCACTGGGAGATTTGATACTTACTAAGGATCTAGGTTCAACACAACACCCAAACTGTGGGGTTTTCTGCTATCACTGCTCACATACTTTAGGACCTTGCTAGGCTGGGAAGTAAAATAGCTTTTGTACAAAGCTCACCAAAACAAAACAAAACTTGGCAGAGAGAATCACTTAGGAAAAAAGAAATACAGATAAGAAACTGGAGATCAGAAGAAATCCACTACTTATCTGACATGAAAGGATAAACGCAGACCATAAGACATCCTTATAGGGAATATTTCTCCATTAGAAACAGTAGGAGGGAGAATAAGACAAGATCTGAAAAGAGACATTGGTTTCCAGCAGCAGTGGGCAGCTGCAAAATAAAAACAAGTTATTACAAAATACTTTTCTAGTGTCTGAGAGTATCCTATTATTACCCACAGTAAAAGCAAGGCTCTGAGTTGCCAACAACGTCACCACAAAGGAACCACTATACTGAGGTGGGCTGTGACAATAAAAACGGTGCAAGTGCAGCCAAGAGCCTCCAGTGGGTGAGGAAAGCAACCCACTGAGGCTACAGAGAGCGACGCTGACAGGTTACGTAGGAGATGGTAACCCATGCTCAGCACAGCCTCAGCCTGCAGTGGGACTTCTGGAGAGCCACCAACACTCCCCAGCTGAATTGCAGCTGGAGCTCACCACTCTCCTCAGTTTTATGACATATGTCACACATATGTGTAAGTCATATGAAGATTTTGATACATAGCTCTGAAAGCCAGGAAGTTTTGTTGAATCTACATGAGTAACACCCATAGTCTCTCTGGATGAGGTCCAGCCTTCCAGCTCTGGTGCCTGCAGTAATAAGTAGGCAGAGTACAGGTCTCTACACAGGGATCCATCCATGCTTCACTCCATGTGTTTGCTAATTAATGACACCCAGGAAAGAATGCCAAGTTCGATATAAAGGCTGACTTAACACAGAGCTACCTCAAAATCAGTCCTTCCCAGGAATTAATTACCTGGGGTTTGAAGGCTACACAGGAGGAAAAGGCAATGTGAAATTTTTTTTGTTCTTTGCTTTAAATATTAAAAAAATATTGTAAATGAAGATTTTGGGAAATAAAATGTAATTTTTAAACTGCTATTCAAGAATTAACTACTCTAATGTGTGAGAAACACAGCTTTATGTTTACAGTAATGCTGGAAACATTCCTTTCAAAGCATCTGAACACCAAACTTCCTCTGCATCTTGTGCAGTCCTTTAACACTTTTACAGGCAAAAAGATGTATCTACAGGAATCCAAAGGAAAACTACACAAAATGCCTTTAATTAGCACTTTGAGAAAGCAACTCTCAGAGTAAAAGGAGTCAAAATTCAGAAGATATAACTATCTGCTATGATTTTAAGTGCTAGCAAAGCTCATTTTAAAAGTGCAAAGGTCTTAGTCTTCCAAAACCTTATGAAAACTCAACAGATACTTAGATCAAGTGTAAGAACGCTTTGGTGGTGAGTGAAAGTTACTTGCTTGCCCTATCATGACACATGACAGAAAAGAACTAGCATTGTAGAAGACGGTGGCACTCCACTTGACATATGGGATGTGTTCTGATCTCAGCTAAATTTATGCCATATGCTACAAAGCACAGTGCGGTGTCTGCCTTTTTTGGAACACAAACAACTTGCTGACACTAAATGGAAAGTTCACGGCAGGATTTACATCATCTTTGACCTAACTGTGACAGCCTAGGACAGAACTACTCAGGCTGCTCCTTAGGACTCCAGATTTTCTGGGGTGACGTGTATATTTATCGTTCAAACACATTACTCGACATTATGAAAATTATCACTGTAACCATTTCAGGTACATGAACACCAGTCTGCATTCTGGTAGAAAAAAGCAGATCTGCATGAATTAAAAACAAAAACCAAGCAAGGCGAGGCAGGTTCCCGAAGCAGGCAGAGTAACTAGGTAAACGTTGCCCATATGTGTCTGACATGCAGCTGTTTTTAAATGTCTCCACCCACACCCAGATGGGCACAGCAGGAGTATATTATATGAAAAAAATGTGCTGGGAGTTGTGCAGAGACTAGAAAAAAATATCAGAAGTGTGAAAATCCTCCCAGCAGTGAAGTTTTGACCTGTCCTCATTTAACACAACAACCCCAGGTATTTGCTTTGGTAACAGAAGCATGGCAGCAGCAGACTAAAACATGATCAAATGCCTTGGCCAAGTTGAGCCTCAAGGAACATCAAAGCATCTTATTAATTTTCCCAATAAGCTATTCCCTGCTCCACCACCTTTAGATTTTAATTCCCCTGAAGTCTCAAACCTCCTATCCAGAGACAGTTTGGTCATGTCACAGTTTTCTTTGACATAGTGTTATTTAGTTTGATCCTCCTCATTAAGGGAAGTGCAGAGAGTCAGAACCGAAACTGGACAACAGGAATTCTCCATCCTTCTAAATTCATATGATGCCAAGGAGAAATTCTGAACAGAAATCTAAGAGGTGGAGTTAATAATGCACCCTACCTTACTAAGAGTAAGAGAACACATGAAAGCAAAATCATGTTGCAGGGGGAGGTGGGGAAGCTGAGCTCCTCTAAAAGCTGTCAACTTGGAGACAACAAATGAGCAAAACCAGCACCAGCTGGAAAGAGACGTAGGCAAGCCAGTCTCCTTATACTGACTCTTTGGTGCTCGCAGGCATAGAAGCGAAGATATCCACATCAGCAGAATGACATGTTTATTTAGATGAGTTAACTGTAAAAACACTTGCCAAGTTATTTGCAGGCTGTGCCAAGTATATGTCAGAACCCAACAGACTGATCTTACAGAAACTATTGTAGAGATTCACAGTTTTGCTGTCTCTTCCTTAAGGGCAGCTGAATGAATAACCATATTTTTCCAGGAAAGATTAGATGTCAATTTGTTTTCTTTTCCTGGTTGAACAGGAGTAGCAACAAAGTTTCGCATCAGTTTGAGGAAGTCCCACACGCCCTGCAGTCCTTTTCACAAGTAACCAACCTTTCCACTCTGCCCCCAGAACAGTCCACAAAAAGGTTATTCAAGCGACCAGAGACTCCTTTTCACCTCAATACAACTATCCAACACTAAAATATCAAATAAAGACTTCTCAATGGAGAAAATTTCCATTTGTGCAAAAACACTTCAGCAGTAGCCAGTGCCTTAAAAGGAAGAGGTTAAGTTATAAATTAATTATATTGCATAAGTCACAGCACAGGACACATCCTAAACATGGTGGGTGGGTTTTTTCCCCCAAAAGATGTTATCTCACAGTAAAAAATATTTTTGTGGAATTAGAAGAAATAACGAAAAAAAACGCAAAATGGAAGAGATCGAGAAAAGTACTTGATTCTCATTAACAGTGTAAAAGAGCCCCAGTGCCTACTTCTGGAATGATTAATTTATTCCACCACTATCTAGTTTATTTTAAAAACAAATTATCTATATTTCCAAGCATTTGATGTCAGATATATACGTGAATTCCACAAAATGCTAACAAGAAACATTGAAGGCAGCCCTTTTAAATATATCTTTCAACTGTTCTTCACTAAAATTGGATCCACTGTAGACAAATTAATGTTATCCTATTTACTGAAGATGGTAGATGTTTGAGGTCACTGTGGAAAAGAGGGGAAACCTCACAGCACTCTGAGCAAGTGTCTCACAAGTCTGAAAAACCCAGAGCTCCATTACATTCAGCATGACACTTCTGTGCTGCAATGGACACAAACTGCAAAGGCTGCTGTAGATGTATCACCTACAAAAAACTTTGATGTTTTCCAGGGTGAAGGCCTGCATTGCAGGAGGAGAAATAACCAAGAATATTGCTAAAGAAATGTGTTATTTGGCAAGAGTTTCCAGAGTTTATAGAGGTATATCCTATTTTAAATGTGCAGGGTAATGAACACTGTTGGATACCACTGTGAAGTACCTATTGACAAATGTGGTCTCTGAAAGGGGAAAACTCTAAGGAATTCTTCTTCTATTTCAGAGGCAGCAGATGCATTGTGTGTTGGCACGACTGGTATTGGAACTGCAGTATACATAGAAGTCACAAAAAAACCCATAGCAAGGTTCAGATGATATATTCATGTTGCTGTATTTCGTGCACCAGTCTTCTGCCAAATGTGTGAAACTTTCCCCTATAATGGAACTATTTTGCTCACTGTGCTATATCCTGAATTTTTGAATTGCACACATTTTTAGGCATGTAACAGAGCAACAACCACTTGCAGAGAAAGAAAACTAATTGCAATAACATATACTTTCTATACAAAATTGTTCTGTTCATAACACTTAAGATTGCAATATTTCTTTGGGAACGAAACATGGGCAAAGCTGGCAAGCCTCAACTATTTTAACTCCATATCTACACCAACTGTGTAAAGTCAATAGCATAACTAATAAATATATAGAGAAAAGTAGATTCCCAGTAAAAAGTTACTAACAATCCATTAATTCAGTCACATACTCACATACTCATTCACCTACACAGCAAGACAGATATATACCCTCACACCTTCCATTCTGGGCTGGATCCCATAAAACATCAAACTTTCTCCTTAGAGTTCATGAGATAAAAGGCAGGAGGAGTAAAATAAAAAGGAAGGTTATGAAACACATCACACTCTGACAGACATACTAAATGTTAGAAAGCTATAATTAGTATAACCAGTTTCATTAATTTTTACATGCATGAATAGAAGAGTGAATGTTATTGTCCTTTTATTTATACATAAAAACATAAGTGGCTAAGGCAGCCAGACACTTCTGTGTGTAACAGAAAGGTAAGTTATCTACAATCCTTTTGGCAGTACTTGCAGATATGTTTAAAGTAAACTGATACATGAAGAAGAAAAATAACCAAGTGCTCGCTTAATCTGCAAAGTGTCTCACAGCAAAGGTCACAATTAAATTTACACCATAAGCATACCTGGCATATTCCACTGATGCACATATCCAGGGATTCAATATTGCAACGAGTACCATCTAGTACCTTCGGGGCAAGCTCCACAATCAAGTTCTTTCCCAGGGCTTGACATTTCAGGGCACATGGTGCAGTAGGATCATTATACACGGGGACCCACTCATAAAAATGTCCCTGGTATTTCACATCATTGTAGGCTGAACACTGCTGTGCTCTAAAGTCACCAACATCTGAAGGGCAATCCTAAAAACAAACCAAAGGACATATTTAAGAAAGGAATACTTTGCATTTGCAATAAAGTCACCTGACTAATTATACAGAATCTATTTAGGGAGGCTTGGTTCAAGAACTGATCTCCTATGACAAATATACCACGTCGCAAAGTTTTACTGTGTATTAAAAATTTTACACTGTTTAATCTGTTGCTTGCAGTGCAAATAATAGAATATCGTGTATATTCCAGTATAACAACATAACTGATATGAGAGGATAATTAAAAATGCTACTTTTTATGACACTTCGTAGTACATTTAAAGTCTGGTTCTGTGATCAGAATTAGCTTCTGAAGGAATCTATATATTTTAAATGACCATAAGATGCCTGACATTTAATATTTCTCTTTTCAATAGCTGTTTGAACACAAGGATTTCTGAGCACTCTGCACTCCTTCATCAATTGACACATCAGAGTAACGAAAGAGGTATTATTGTTACTTATACATAAAGAAATAAAAAACTGTCTACTTAATTTTTCAGTATTGCTCAGAAAGAGGATAAAAGCATTAGGAGGAGACACCAGAACTTTCAGTATTTTGTCCTTTAGTTTAATTACAAAACATCCTCACATCATGAATGTAGAAAAGCTTATTTTGTTGAAATATACTTCAAATTGGTAACTATTGATTAAATAGTTCCAGTTCCATATCTCCTCCCATACAGAGCCTCAGCATACATAGCTGAAAGACCAAATAGAAGAACTGTTTGAAATAAGATATTCTAAAATATTTCTTCTACATAAAGCATTGCACCCAAACAATGATGTTAATATTAAACTATGGTGACAGGAATGGAGATGAATACTGATTTATTCAAAAATAACTTTAGTAAAGTACTGACAAAGGAGTTAGTGTGTCAAACTATTTCTCACTAAAGACTTCATTTGAAAGTATGTCCAGTGTCAAACAGTCCATATGCCAGACTGAAAGGATATTCTTCCAAGAAATCCAACAGCACATATAAGCCAGATGTGAGCCTGATTTTAACAGAGTTTTGTTTTCATTGGATATAAGACTGAAAGATTGTGATGTGTCAGCTGAACTTGTGGAACTTAGTAATATGTATTAGTTAACCATACTAATCCTGAACATAGCTTCAACCTTATCAGGAAACTGAACCTTCCATGAAAAAAAGTCTTAACAATATAGTTAAGTGCATTACACAGTATTGTAAATTAAAACATATATGAGAAAGGTTTCAATTCCAATCCAATGCCCTCAACAACATTGTCCTGACACCATTTGCTCATAGGAATCTGGATAAGCAAGCACTACATTAGCTTAATACTTTGTCATTGCCTTAGTTTTTTTTTTTTCACCATAGGAAGTAGTAACCTAGCAATGTCTGATTTATTTGTAGTCTGCATGAAATACCTTCCAAAATCAGTATTCTCTCTACTGATCAGCACAGGGAGTTTTTGAAACTGAGCAATTCACAGAGCATTCCCAGCAAGGCTTTTCAACTTTGTCCAGTGCTACATGTGACACTGAGAATAATTCAGAATGATGCTAATGTCCAGAGAAGGGCCTCGAGAATGATCCGAGGGCTGGAGCAGCTCTCCTACAAGGACAGACTGAGAGAGTTGGGGCTGTTCAGTCTGGAGAAGAGAAGGCTCTGAGGGGACCTTATTGTGGCCTTCCAGTATCTTAGGGGGGCTACAAGAAAGCTGGGGAGGGACTTTTTAGGCTATCGAGTAACGACAGGACTAGGGGGAATGGGGCAAAGCTGGAAGTGGGCAGATTCAGGCTGGATGTGAGGAAGAAGTTCTTCCCCATGCGAGTGGTGAGACCCTGGGATGGGTTGCCCAGGGAGGGGGTTGAGGCCCCATCCCTGGGGGTCTTTAAGGCCAGGCTGGAGGAGGCTCTGGGCAGCCTGATCTAGTGGGAGGTGTCCCTGCTCATGGCAGAGGGGTTGGAACTGGGGGATCCTTGTGGCCCCTTCCAACCCTGACAGATTCTGATCTGTTTTAGCAGAGGACTTTAGAGCCCTATTGGCTCAATGGTTGGACTTGATGATCTTAAAGGTCTCTTCCAACCTAAAGGATTCTATGACTCTATGATAATACATTCCGTAATCTGGGATAATTCTAGTTTGAGCCATAATTTTTTTTAAACTATAAAATGATGAAATAAACCAAGAAGAAACTACAGTTACTGTAATTCTTTGAGAGTTTTACCTCTGCAAAATCCCACACGTGATATCTTCTAAAAACATAAAGCAAATACTGATAGAAACCACCCTTATTTACTGCAGTGTCACTCCCCAAGAAATTCACCACATTTGCACTGGTGTAAATGAGAGCAGAATTTGGCTCTGACTTATCTGTCACCTCTCATTTCCACAATAGCAAGTCTAAAAAGCAGAGAGGACTTCAGAGTTCACATGGATACCATATGGTTCCCTTCCACCGTTGCAAATAGAGGAGTAGCTAAGGATAAAAATAATAAGTGGAAGTTAGATTCAGGTAAAGTTAGAAGCAGTATTTTGGAGCAGGTTTATTCAGCCATGCACAGCTACATTTTCATTACAAAGAACTAAAGAGCTATCTGTGAAATAGGCAGAGTGATGGCCTTAGGCTGAGTTTTCACAGGCTGTTATTACAATTCCTTATCATTTGGTGTTGATGCAATGCCAAGACACAAACAGCACAATGTCAGGATGTCAATCCTCCGTTACTGTTTCTCATTGATTCAACACAATGCAGCTCCTTCCTTCCACTTGCTTCCTGGCTGCTTGAGAGCAAGTGAATTCTCATCTCTCTGCTCTGTTTTGGCATCTTCAAAGAAGATAAAGCAATTCTGGCAGCTCAATTCATATGCCAGTTCCACCTGCTTTATGTTTGAGCTGTGTCCAAAAGCAGGAGGATAAAAAGAGCATTACAAAGGGATATCAAGGGGCTGAAATTATTATAATTTGCATTATATCAGCATTTGGATGGCAACCAAGTTCAGATGCCTGTTTTCCTGGGAACAATACACGTTTATAAAAAAGAAAGGAGTTTATAAACTAAACAGAAAGACAATTAAGCACAGAAAGAAATGTAATCAAGACAACAGGAGTTCTAAACTTAAGGTTAATTCCATTAGAGTAGGTCAAAAAAGTGAGAGGGAGTTTAAAAAATAGAAAGGAAAAGGAGGGGAGGAGACGTGGGAGAGGTAGGCAAGGGTGAGGCACCTTTCGCAAGTGGGCGAGGCCACACTGTCAGACAAGGGCCTCAATCCTCACCCTGTTTCCACATCTTTTTGGTTTTAATCTACTTCAGTCATCAACTGATTAAATTATTCCTTTTTCCCTCTCAATATTCCACATTTTTTCTTGTTTTTTTTTAAAATATTTTTGCTACTCATTTCAGGATTTCTCAGACTTCTTAGTTTCAGCAAAAGCTTTTTGTCTTACACTCCACCCACTGAACCGTAGCCAGGCTGCTCAAAGGTTCATACACCACATAAAGAGCTGAAGATGAGGTCTAATACATGCAAATATCTATGAGGTCTAATACATGCAAATGTTGGCAGAATAATCACATCCAGATTTTGTAGTGGAAAGAAGCATATATACGATGTGACTTATGACATATTAGACAGATCTGAAAAGGATGCTTCAGACTTGACTATCATGCAGGTTAAAAATACATATATATATATATACACTGATTCTTTTTATGACAGATGATTAATAACTACTGCACTGGAGGGCTAGCTTCTTATGAAATGTATCGTTATGGTTTTGGCAGTGAGCACTTTTTGCCTTTGCAAACAAAGCTAACCTGGGGAATCTGTATCTTTGTAGGCAACGTTCATGTACAAAATACGAAGGTTGCATCAGACCCTGTGACTCCTGCCAATAATTACTCCACTGAAAAAAGCACAAAAGAGGAGGCAAGAAAATTCCCAGTAAAAATGATGACACCAAAGGAAGTCTAGCCCTTTGTCTAGTTCTATTCTTTGAATATCATTTTGTTGAAACCTAGCCAAAGCCTATGAAGTCATTGTTTTGTTTTCTTTTTGAAATTAGCTTCAGGTTCTGTGTTTTGCCTACACAATTTTCAGGCCACTTCTTAGTAAAATCAAGATACTGAGGAGCTAGAAAGCCTAGCAACGAGAGCCATATGGTGCATCAGCATTATAAATATAATATAAATGAACAGATTAGCAAGAAATATGCAGCTCGAGGTGAAATATTATAGGACTAAAGTAGACACAGTTCAGCCAAGATTTTCTGAATGGGATAAATGAGCTGGTTAAGAAGTGGATGCTGGAGCAATAATCTGATAAATACATTGAACAAGTGTGAGCATTACCTGCACATAACAAAAGTTTATAATGGAATTAAACATGGGCAAATCTGTTACAAAATAGTGGTTTTCCTTGCTGTCTAACAGTCACTCTGGCAAATGTATAAGTGACTTTTTGGCACATAAGAATGTGAAATTTATAGGGAAATGGCCCAAATAACTTGTTCTATGAATAGGACCCTAAAGGATTATCTTAAACACTTCCATATAGTGTACATCATAGCATTAGAATGTAACAGTATATACAAAAATGGAAATATAAAAAAAGAGGGGTTAAGAAAGACTGAAAATCTCATTGAACAGCATATAATGAATTGTTTCTATAGTTTATTTCTCTAAAGTTTCTATAAGAAAAGCTGAAAGCATATACACAGTTTTAGGAAATCATGCACCTGGCATCTCAGTTATGATAGAAAGATAAGTTGGCTACACACATGCCTTAATCTCAGCAATTATTTTGTTGCTAAGACTTTGAATTAATTTTTTGATTGAAATATATCTAATATTGTTCTGGAACTATGCTTGAGTTCAATGAACTTACTACTATTCTATTACAAATCCAGATGAAACCAATTTTCTGGTAAAATGATTCTTGTTCTTTTCATTAGAATGACACACATATTGAGTTGTGCTTCATTTGTACTCACCAATATAGATGTTAGTGGTGTAATGTATCATGTAGCAAAATTACATTTGCAGACAACTTAACACAGTGTATATATACTGAATGTCTCATGTGGTTAACAATAATACCTACTAATATGGCAAGAAGCTAGTATAAAGTCTTAATTCTGAAACTAAAATTTTACTCCTCAAGTGAGAAGCATTCATTAGAAATAATGCTTTGGGGAAAATTATATCATTTGAAAGAAAACTGGCTTAGTAGTCCACATTTACATTAGGAGTAAGCTCCCATTTCAAGGTTAAGTCAGGTCTAATACAGAGTTTGAATTTAGAGACACTAAATCCAAAGATCAACTGCATTAACGGTGGAAATATCATGAAATACATTTTTCTCAGGAGTTCTCCATTATCTGATCCACAATCTATGAAAAACCATTCCTGAAAGATTCTGTCTGTATCTGAACTGAAATGGAAACCTGATCCCCTTCAGACATGCCCCAAAAGCAGAACTGTAAAGGCAGCTTCCTGTCTGGAAATTAACATTTGAATCATCATAAATTCAAACAGACTCACATACAAGAGGCTTGCCACTTATCGCTTTAAAATAAGTCCTAAAGTTAAAAAACAGGCCCCAGTGACTCCAGACAAACTCCCTGGGAGTTCAGAAAGGGTATGGTAATCATCTTAATTTTCTCTACGCTGAAGCATAGTGTGCCTTCATTTTCAGGTTTTTACTGCGTAATCCTTAAACTGAGCAGTGTCCATAATTGCTCTTACATATCCTAAAAGCACGTAGACCTCTGCTTACAGCAGAAAACATGCCCAAATTGACCTCATCTTTCTCCTTTTTCTGTACACTGGGGACTTTTCCAGTCCTTCTGCTGGAAGAACAAGGTATACTATGTTGACTTGTTTGTGCTGTTGCACAGGAAGCTATAGAGCCCATGATCAAGCAATCAGAGGTACATTACAACACATACAATTAGCTATCTAGATAAGGAATGTAGCAAATAGATTTTACAGTGGCAGATTGTTATTGCTTATGTACTGGCTTGCTGCAGTTCAGCTTATCAGGCAGCTGTAAAACACTATGGTGTCTTTTGCATGAGGCAGTTTTATTTATGAACTATGGACACTGTGCACAAAGCTGGTGGGTCATTTCTTCTGAAAGGGCAAGTGACAGGGTTTGTCTCCAGAATCTGACTTTTGCATGTTCTGGGCCTGATTCATGAATCACTTCCACTAGATTCTGCCAGCAGAAAGTGAAGTTGTGAGTCGCTGTGGTGGAAAATCCGTCCCACATCGAGCAGAGTGTTAGAGCAATTCAAGGTGCTAGCAAGACTTATTCTTGAGGAGGGCAGAAGCCAACCGGCACAAAAGAAAATGTGTGGCAAACTGAAGGCTGGGAATGGACAGTTCTCCCAGGAGATACACTGATTCAACGTATTTACTGGGCAGCTTCCAGTGTCAGGCCTCCTACAGAACACGTCATGCTTTACAGCTGCCAGTTACTGGCAGAAATCACAGGGTTGGCAATGACATGAGTATCACCTGCTCTTGCTTGGGTATAACTCAACCCAAAGCAACTGCAGGCCTCACCTTTGAAGGGATATTTGTGTGAAAATTGCTGCCTTTCTCCTGGAGCCAGAAGCAGATCAATCAAATGCATAAATAAAATAAAATAAAATAAAATAAAATAAAAATACACACCAAACCAACCAAAATAAAAACCCACCAGATGCTTTCATTTATCTACCTTCTCTCATGTCTGGAATAGGATTATATGAATGTCACATTGTACTGCAAGGTAACTCATGCAAGGGGTTAACTGCTGACCATAAACCATCCTGAATTATTGTGTTTGTATACATGGTCTGCTCATCAGTGGTATCACAAAGTTCTACATGAGCTGCACACCTTGAACAGTCTACATCTGGGGTGAAAGGCAGCAGCTGTTTAAACAGCACAAACCATCACAACAGATCAGTTGAGCACAAGTCATCAAGTATGCTGTATGTGACTGGTTTTCATAAAACACGTCTGTGAAAACAAAATGTGATTGTATCACAGCAACAGCAACTGCACAGTCAAAACTCCAGCATCACATTCAGTCACAGAAACTGTCTATGACAGTGTACCTAAATATCCATGCTTTTGCATATAAACATATAAAGATCTGAGCTCCGCATATAACAAGTAATTATCCAAATTAAGTTTTGAAAGGCACACAGGAGGTTAACCTCTTTGGTCATGTGAAGGGTGCCACCGTTATCATGAAGGATGATCAGGAGCTCAGTTTAATGCTTCATCTGACAGACAGCACCCCTAGGAAAAGCACTTGCTATTTTAAGATGAGAACTGATTTTTTTTAATCTTCCAAAATGTGTAACTTTCCTAATAAATTATATAAAACATTCTGAATCACAACTGGCACTACAATTTCAAAAGAAAATGTCCATTTGGGAAGCATAAATTTGAGACCTTGTGGTGTCATGCAGGCTGAAATCTTAAAAAAATGGTAGTAAAGTGGGATAAAATAAAATATGCACCATAAGGTTTTAAATAAGAAGCAGCATTTCTTAAATTTTAATACTTTGAATAAGTAAAAGAGGATTCTAGGCCAGACTCACAATACTACTGCAGGTTTTGTATCGAATATTCCGACCTTCACAGTTCCTGAAAAACAGAATAAAAATGGTTACACTGTTTAACAGCAAAATAGAATCCTGCCTGGTTTACAACTAATTATTCTCTTGAAAATTAGACTTCTATTGCTACTGCCTTACCATAATTTGGATTCAAAGTACCAGGTATAAATAAAAAGGACATCTTGGGACTCAACAGGTTACACTGCTATCTCTCTTGAGCAAAGAAGAGATAGCTTTCCCTGTAAGCCAAATTTACTGCAAAACTTAAGAAAAATACATTTATTTTGTGGAAAAGTTAAAATTAATCTGTGCTGACTTCAGCAAAGATACTTCTAATCCATGGGATGTAACCTATAGGAAAAGAACAGAATATCTAAGGAACCCTGAAATGAAACATAGGGCTAATGACCATTAATTTTCCTTCTATTTTGTTTAGCACAGAAAAACCAGCCTCTAAACTTTCCTTTCTCTGCAAACCCAATACAGTACTTTTGAAGAACAGCAAGCCATTCTACTGAGCAAAAACCACATGAGCAGAATTCATAATTTTAAATGAAATTTCATTCTCATGAATTGCACAGATTTCTAAGGAGCCCAATGGGGATGAATTCTGAAATCCAGACAATTCAGATCCTCAGCAAAATTTCTCATTAGTAGCTGAAACACGAGGCATAAAATAAAGTTGTGATTATTTATTGTGGTCTAATATGGGGATGTGTGTGGGTCTCACACTCTTTTTAGGGACACGGTTTGCCAAACTTCTCAGTAACTGACTGGCACTTCTGCACAGGGTAAGATATTCTTCTTCTTAAGAACAGCAAAATCAAGGCCTTGAAAGAACTGAAAACATATTTCAAATGACTTGACAGGAAATTAATAATGGCTCTAAAATCAGAAATAGTGTTTTGGAGTTATTCCTTCATACTAAAAAGACCTGCCTTAAATTAAGAAAAGCATGAATGTATAGCTAGTAATTTACAGCTTGGACTCAATTTTCCACCTTTTGCATGAAAATTGATTGCAAATACTTTAAAAAATTCTTTAATATGTGTGAGGGACTGAAAAATATCACTTGAAAGGGAAAAGCAATGGATGCCTGGAGCAAGAGTTCAACCAGCTCAGCTGAAGGTACAGCAATCCAAGCTCAAGATATGACAAGTCTTAAATTTCCAATCTTTTGCAAGAATGATTGCATCATAACGTGTAAGTTAAAAATGTTTACGATACATATGAATGTGAAAATTTACTTTCACAATTGTGCATTTCCTGAACATTACAACAACAATAAAACACAGAAAAAAATCCTTTTAAACTGCATATTTGTCAAGGTATGGAAAACACATGTTTTTCACAGGGGAACACATTAAAAATATTAATAAAACCACAGTGGAATTTATATTGCTACAGTTTATTGAGCTCGTTTCACAGTCCCTAGCACTGGTAGACTATCATGGCTTCTTGCTGAAAATACTGCTTTTCTCAAAGATATTTGTGCAATTTGCACTAAAACAGGCAGTGATTGAATGAATCAATCATCTCTAGTTATGTATTTCATATAGATTGCAGTTAACCAGTATATCACACTACAAGCCTTCTTTAAGACAAATTGACTTCCTGGGTGATACTGCATTTAACGCAATATCTCAACAGAATAAAATTTTAAACATAACCAGCACTTTTAAAAAATGTTTAGGAATAATTCAAGCAAAGCAAGTAATTATGGATGCCAGCACAAACGTTTCTAAGCTGGTTGGGATCTCTTCTCGCCTGAGAAGCCTGTTACATTACTCATACTTTTAGGATTGTAGCAACAAGTCTTACATTAGCCCAGCTTTACTACTGAGGTAAATTGTTTTCACCATATACACTGTTCTTTTCGAGCTACAGGGGCTCATCCATGAAAACATATGGCCACCAGGACCACTGCATAGAAAAAACTGGCAGAGGAAAAGTTTCCTAACAGAAAGCAGCATTTGATACATCTATATGGTGAGTAAGTCACTTGTTTTTCACTACAGGGAAGACATGGAAGAGCCTCCACTTGAACATTATTTCAAGTAATGTTCAAGTGCAGGCTAATTTGTAAGCAGGTAACTCACCATTTGCTTCATATTACAGTGACAAGGACTTCCCTCAGTGTCTGAACGTAGTAAATAAATCATTATTGTTATTCTACAAACGTACTTAATAACACACTGACGTTCCATCAGAGTTGAAGGCTCGGATATTTATTTCATATTTTGCAAAAATATTAAAAGCAGAATTTCCTATAATTTGATCTGTACCCAGCACTTGGTTCTAGAAACGGAAGCAACAATGCTTCTCTACAGACACCATCAGAGTACAGGGAAATATGGCAGAGCTGCAGATGTACAAATACACATAAGCATGTGGCTTACCTGCCATTTAAACACCTCCTCAGTGAATAAGAGGCTCCCCCACCACAGGTCCGTGAGCAATCACTCCAGGCACCCCAGGCATCCCAGGAGCCTTCCTTATCTTCATCAGAGCGGGCAATTCGGGAAGTCTGACAAAAACAGAGCATGGAGAGGAGAAATTAAAAAAAAAAAACCAACCCACCAACATGGATTGATTTGGTACATGTTTTACTGCTTGGCAGTACTAGTACTGACTATATTATGTTGCTGCTTATTTACAAGTTCATTTACTATTTTAATATACAATAATGACATAGGCAAGGAGGCCGAGTGTTTGAAGATCCAGTGCATTTGCTGCATTGCCTTCTGCTGACGGGCTGCTATGCCCATAGAGACTGTCATTCCAAATGTACATATGTCCAACACACTGTGTAGGAACTACACAGTCAAACTCCTTTCTTCCACAGTGCCTCATGAAAGTGACTGGGATGTGAGGGACATGTAATTGAAATCTTATGGTACAAGGGGAATACAAAAACACATAACTCCCCTTATATTCAAGAATATAGTCAGCTCATCTTCAGCCAAGATGAAAGTAGACTCAGATAAAAGCCTACCAAGATTGGGGTGAAAATGGCAAATAATAAAACCAAAGCTGTTTCAAAATAGCACCGTACCAGGAATGGCTCAATACCACACTGTGTAGGCAAAGGACTTTTATCTTAAATAGTATAGTATAAAAAAATAAAATAGATCACGTGCCACAGAACTTGCAAAAACTGTCTGTGATTGAGCTGTTACCCTTCAGACACGTTCACACTGCAGTTGTGAGTACAACTATTGAACAAGCATCGTTTCAGGAACCCAAATGGCAAATATTTTACATATTACGTTTTTCTATACCATGCTACCAACTTAGCTAAACTTAAGCAGAACCAAGGACTACTCCAACACATTTGAAAGGCATTAACAAGAGCAGGCAGATTTAGCATAGCAGCACTACTCCCGTAGTTAAGCAGCTAACAACCATTGGCAATTTCCAAACTTTTCCATCCCTTTTTCAAAAAATCTGAACTTGTCAAAAAGAAAAAAAAATTAAAAAATTGTTGACAGATTAGCTATCTCCATTTGAACAGTAAACTGCAGAAGTTAGTCTAAACGCATCAGTGGCCTCTTAACTTTTTTGATCCCTTAACTTTACACATTTTACAAATGCTTGTTTTAAAGATTTTTAAAAGTGTACTTTTTAAAAAGTGCCAATCTACTGTTCCAGAAACGATAGAGCCCAGCTCTGCCAAGACCCCTGAGGAATTTTTATGCTGGCATTGGGCTTACTTTACATCAGAAGCCAACTCTGAAATGTCTGACGCCGAAAATGGAACCAACTGCCTTCAGTCGTGAGCAAAAAGAGCTCCCAACTTCGCAACTAATCACTGAGCATGTGAAAATAAGTCAAGATGAACAAGAGAGTAATTTCTTTCAAATTTATGAGTGCAAAATTAAAGTTTGTCCTCCGTAGTCCCAAGGCAATTGATTGTTTTTTATTATGTTGAGAAATTATTAAACTTATATTAACAAAGCAATACATGCCACTCTCTCTTTTAGAATACTGAGTTTCTTTTGACAAAGCAGTGACAATGCCTAAAATAATCCTAACTTCATCATTGTATTAAAACCAGCCACATGATATTAACAGACAGAATGTCATCTAAAGCCCTAAACAATGTCCAGTTGTTCACTTACCAAACTGCTTTGATAAAAGCCATTGTTCTGAACTGTATCTAAATAAAAAGCTGTAAATACTAGGATGATCAAAGCAGAAGTTTATGCCAACAAAGCCTTCTTCAGAATCACTGACTAATTCAGTGCCCACAGTGTTGATTTAAACTCCAGCTAGTTCAAACTATTTGTCCCATGGGAA